TTTCTTTGTCAGTGGGCAAGCGTACAAAATCAGCAGGGGATCAAATACTTTTTACCCTCACTGTACAACAACACACAGACATATACAACAACACACACACACACATATACAACAACACACACATATGCAACTAACACACATATACAACAACACACAGACATATACAACACACACTCACATATACAACAACACACAGACATATACAACAACACACACATATACAACACACACACACTCACACATACAACACACACACACATATACAACACACACACACACATATACAACAACACACACATATACAACAACACACACATATACAACACACACACATATACAACACACACATATACAACACACACACACATATACAACACACACACATATACAACACACACACATATACAACAACACACACACACATATACAACAACACACACACATATACAACAACACACACACATATACAACAACACACACACAAATACAACACACACACACACATATACAACAACACACACATATACAACAACACACATCTGTTGACAGACGTGAAATGTATGCCCGCCAAAAAGGTAAAATAAATAGTTTTGGTGGGGGGGGGGGGGGAATAAATGACCCTCACGTGAGCACTTACGACGCACAGAGCCAATGTTTCACATTGACGACGTACAGAGCCAACGTTTCACATTTACGACGCACAGAGCCAGTGTTTCGCATTTACGACACCCAGAGCCAATGTTTCACATTGACGACGTACAGAGCCTACGTTTCACATTTACGACGCACAGAGCCAATGTTTCACATTTACGCCGCACAGAGCCAATGTTTCACATTTACGACGCACAGAGCCTACGTTTCACATTTACGACGCACAGAGCTACTGTTCCGCATTTACGACGCACAGAGCCAATGTTTCCCATTTACGACGCACAGAGTCAATGTTTCACATTTACGCCGCACAGAGCCAACGTTTCACATTTACGACGCACAGAGACTACGTTTCACATTTACGACGCACAGAGCTACTGTTTCGATTTTTCGGCGCACGGAGCCAATGTTTCACATTTACGACGCACAGAGCCAATGTTTCACATTTACGACGCACAGAGCCAACGTTTCACATTTACGACGCACAGAGGCAATGTTTCACACGTCGGAGACTTTCGCGAACAATATCATCCATCATTTAGGTTTTTTTTTGGGTTAGATCGCGTAAATAAAAACCCGACACAGCCAATTAGCGAAGTTTGTCACGTAAACAGAACATGCCAATTCGTTACTAATACAGCACACCGCTATGTCGGAGAGTACATCAGCAACATTTACAATCCGAGCACGACGTTTCGCCAGTAATTGCAGCCGACATCATCGGGCGGACAGCCACGTTTGTGGATAAATCCTCCCGTTTCGTTCCTTAAATAGGAGGGATAGACGTCGCGAAAGCCCGCGTGTTAAACGAATCGCTTTAAAAGTTGCTCTCGAGTAACGCTGGCGGCCCCCTTCCCATCGCGTGACTCGACCGCGGCTCTCCCACGCCTTTGCACCGCGCGAGAAGTCTCCAAAGATCCCCCGTGTAGCCTTCACAGACTGTAGGGGCAAGTGCTGTTAGCGAACACCTTTGAAGGGCCGGCACGGCACACGAGGGGGTGGGTGGCCAGCACCACGCCCGGCCGCCTTTGTCTTCCCAGTGGCGATGTTTACACACCTCACCAGGTACTCATTTGAGGCTTAGTCGACCTAGGGGAGGCCCGGGGCCGGTTCAGATAATCGTCACCGGTGTTGGCCCTGAGCTGGAATTGAACTCGGGTAGCCGGGTTCGTAGCGCAGCGCGCTAACCGCTACACACACGCACACACACACACGCACACAGACACATGCACACGCGCGCACACACACACGCACACCGCACACACACACTCACGCACACACACACGCACACACACACACTCACGCACACACACACTCACGCACACGCACACAGACACATGCACAAGCGCGCACACACACGCACACCGCAGACACACACACACGCACACACACACACGAACTCCGTCGACAAACACCGTGGCCCTGAAAAAAAAAGGAGGGGGGGGGAAGCGCACAAAATAGGCGACGTTTCGGTGCAATGGCCCCTTAAGAGAGAGTAGAGAGAAAGAGAAACAAGTTGTAAAGAATTTCATTAGGCAGTAGCGGGCGGTACACAAGCACGAACTATCCCCTCCCCGCGCCCCCCCCCCCTTCAGAATCAGAATATATATTAATATTGGATGAGTCCGATGACCTATACAGCTAATTTATTCCCACAGATGTCCACGGGTGATAACGTTACGACAACAAACAGCACACACACACACGCGCACACAAACAAAAACCACGGTGGTAGTGCAAAGTAGAGTAAAGGTAACATTCACAGCAGAGGAAATGATGTGGGTGGCTCGAGATAAATTGACAACTGACTGACGGATTGGCGGCCAGAGGAAGCAGAGAGAAAGTAGCCAGGAGGAGGCGGTGGGAACCACCACCGTGGAGATGGAGCGACGGAATCAGACTCTTCATCCAGCAGTGGATAGACCGTGGCTGCTGCTGATGATGATGTTGTTAATATAATAAACCAATAACGCATTGCTATGGTTAGGTTAGCTTAGCTACAGGACTGTAGTTGGATCCAGGATTACTTTTAAACATGAGTCATTGCTATGGTTAAAACAATCGACGTATGTGCTATGGATCTGCTTTGAAGATGGGGCATTGCCCGAAACGTCGCTTATTACATTCACAACGTTAAGGCCACGTAGTGTTATTGACGAATGTGATGATAGCCCCTGTGTGTGCGTGTGTATCTGTTTGTTAATTGCACTTGTGCACCAGTGGTTAGAAATAGGATAATCTGTCAACTCGAGGGTGAGGGCTGAGTTATTGTGAGCGTTGGACGCTGGACTATGATTAGAGACGGGAGGAGCGGGCGTTCGTGTGATTCATGGCGACGGTTTAATGCCAGGGCTAGCCTTACGTCTGCAGCTAATATTAGGGAGGTAATTAAGGTGACACGGTGTTGCATACACCCCGTGTACACAAAGACAAAGACCCCCCGTATAGCCTTAATGAATTGTCGGGGCAAGTGATGCTAGCGAGTATCACCGCCCGCGCTCGTCTCCATAGTGGCGATGTTTACACATCGCGCCGGTTATTAATTTGAGGCTGAATAGACCTAGGGGAGGCCCAGGATTCTGTTCAGATAATCGCCACTAGTGTTGGCCGTGAGCGGGAATCGAACGCGGATCGCCAGGGGTTTCGTAAAGGCAGCACGCGCTAACCGCTGCGCCACCGCTCCCCACCGGTCTTGCGTACACACACGTACACACACGTACACACACGTACACACACGTGTGTGTATGATTACACTTGTTGCGCTGATATTGGCAAGCCGTGGCGTCGACAGCACTAATTAGCACCGGTCACCGAAGACATAAAAAAAAACACAGCCAACATGAAATCTTGCTCAACTGAAATGCGGAGGCTGCGGTCATCCCCTCCTTATAGCCCTCAGCTAGGCGTGGTGGAAATTCCGCGGGCCTCCGTTGGAGCCGCGGGCAAGTTTATTCGTTGGACAAATAGGATGAACCGCTGTGTGGTGACTTCCAAACAAATTGGTGCTCGTTGTATCGACCCCGGAGGGATGATGGATGAGCAGAGTGAGTTAATAGCGGCGCGCCTTTTGGGAAAATTTGTTTATAATTTGAAGGTGAAGAAATTCTACCACATGGCCGGTGAGGTAAGTTTTCAGTCACTGCATAGGGTAATGTCAGCCACGAACGTATGAATTAAGAAGCGTGGATAACGGGCAAAGATAGCGGAATTAAAAAAAAATAGTAAAAAAAAATACGTGCAAAGAAGAAAGAAGGGCAAGATCCATGCTGGGTGGGTCGCCGACAGACGAGATGAACACGTGGATCAGGGAACACTCCATCATCATATCGACTGTTAAGAAACGTAAAGTGACGCTTGCACCGGATACATCGTCCCTCGAAAGGCCCAGTAACCGGTGAACGGGGAGACTGGTAGCTGAATGCACAGCCGTCCCTAGGGTGTACGGCGAATCGGGGCGACCGCCCTGTGCCCCGCGTTTTGGGGGGCCCCGCGCTTTAACATCACGGTGTCCGATGTAATACTGTCGGTTTGTTTTCGAGGCGGGGGAGGCAAGGAAGAGAGCTCGCCCGAGAGACCGCCCACTGCGGAGACGTAGCCACGATATCATGAAAAGGCCCCCCGAATCGCGTGAGCTAGAAACTTGCAGAGGCTCCACCTTCAGCACCCTGCACCCCCCTCCCCCCGTTTAGCGCCCTGCACCACACCGACAACCAGAAGTTCACAGCTGCACTAGCCCCATGCTCTGCACAAGCACAGGGGCCCAAAGCTTCAATGCCACGTGGTGGATGCCCTCTTTGGGAGGGGGGCGGGCGGCTGAGGAGGGAGGTGGGGGGAGCTCTTTTGTGTGACCCCCCCCCCCTTATCTATAAACAAAAAAATTACATTTTATTTATTTCACCAGGTAAGGTCCACTTAGCTATATGGCTCTTTTTTTAAGCGACCTGGCCACGAACGAATGCTCGATAATTGGCTTATCACGTGGACATTTATAGCAGCCAAATAAATACTCTTAAACGCGTGACGTTGGTTCTAAATGTGGAGGGAAAAAAACCGGAGGAGCCGGATACAAATCCACGCGACCACGGGGAGAGAGAGAGAGAGACACGCACACTCCAAATATACAGCAGCAGGCGTCAGGGTCGAGATCGAACCCACGCCCCCCCAGTATACCAGGCGAGGTAGTTAACATCACGCCACCCCTACGAGAGCGCTTCGGGGCGGGGGTGAGGGAGCAGGGGGGGGAGCAGGGGGGGCAGGGGGGGCAGGGGGAGGCAGGGGGGGGGAGCAGGGGGGGGGCAGGGTGGGTGGGCCCTCTCTGGCCGTGCTGTGCGCGTGCGACGGGACCTTACGTGTCCACTCTCGTCCAGCTCGTTGTTGGTCAGTTTCGCTCGGTCGAAGCTGACCACTCCGCGCGCCCACGTGTCCCCCGAGGCCGGGGAGTCCGGGTGAAGGTAGAGGCGATGAGGGGGCGCCGCGTCGGCGTTGCCAGCCACGATCCACTTGGAGCTGTGGTACACGTACCTGCGTGTGCGCGTGCGCGCGTGCGCGCGTGCGCGTGTTGATAGAGAGCAGCGATGTCGCAGCGGTTAGCGCTGCGCTGCGCTACGAACCCGGCGACCACCCGGGTTCGATTCCCGCTCACGACCAACACCAGTGACGATTATTTTGAATCGACCCTGGCCAAATCAGCCGCAAATGAGTACCTAGTGCCGTGTGTCAACGTCGCCACTAGGGAGACAAAGGCGGCCCGGCGTGGTGCTGGCCACCCATCCCATCGTGTGCCGTGCCGGCCTTCATAGGTGCTACTCGCTAACAGCACTTGCCCCTACAGTCTGTTCAGGCTACACGGGGGGGGGGGGGGGGGGGGGTGTTTGTCGTTGTTACGTCTCGTATACCTCTATATGCAGTCCAGTAGCGTAATAATATAAATTTACATTTGTAGAGTGGTGCATTTCATCCGTAGATCCCATCAATGTGTACATTGTAAAAAGTCCAGCTGCATTGGCTAGCATCCCATCATGCGCGTCGTCATTAGCGCTGCTTTACAATGCAATAATGCATTCAGTCCGACGTTTCAGACAATGATCCTTCGTCGGAGCAGACTTGTCGTTGGAGTTAAAGATTTTCTCGGCAAAGTTAGATTACATTTTCGTTGGGTCATTCGGTAAAGTCACGTAGATAGGTTCAAGTAAAAAATGTATAAATATAAAATAAGCAAATATTGATTTATTATTATTTTATTTCAACCTATCTACATGCCTTTACCGAAAGACCCAAAGAATATGAATTCCTGCAGTCACGAAAGCTTTAAGTCAAGGTTTGGTTACATTGTCAACTGCGTGTTCTTAAATTAAGCGGCTTGTGCGATGTACACGTGTGCCGTAATACATATGCGTGCGTTGGCATGCACATGTGTGTGTATGAACGTGTGTATGTGTGCGTGAGATTATATATGTGGTGTGTGTGTGCACTGAGAAGCGGTGGTGTAGTGGTTCGCGCTGGGCTGCGCTACGAATCCGGCCACCACCCGGGTTCGAGTTCCGCTCACGCCCAACATCAGTGGCGATTATCTGAACCGGTCCTGGGGCTCCCCTAGGTCGACTCAGCCGCAAATGAGTACCTGGTGCGGTGCGTAAACATCGCCACAGGGGAGACAAAGGCGGCCGGTCGTGGTGCTCGCCACTTACCCCCTCGTTTTCCGTGTCGGTCTTAATAGGTGCTCGCTAACAGCACTTGACCCAACAGTCTGTTAAGGCTATACAGGGGACCTTTGGTGTTGTTGCACTGGGGAGACAAAGGCGGTCGAGCGTGGTGCTGGCCACCCATCCCGTCGTGTGCTGTGTTAGCCTTCATCGGCGCTCCTCGCTAACACCACTTGCCCCAACAGTCTGCTAAGGCTCTAGGGGGGATCTTTGTCTTTGTTCATGCATACTCACTGCCTATGCAGTGCTGACTGTGTGTACGTGTCTGTATATTTTTTTTACGATCGCGATTATATTATTTTTACAATTTCATCTTCAAAGAAAGTCTGTCGACACTGCTCAGATTTGCTGATTTTTTTTTTCGAATAATTAAAATAAATGATCCGTAACCGAATTAGCTATACCAATACTAGAGTAGAGAATGTGATCATGTTGAACCACATCGCGTATACTATTTATAAACACAATCCACATTGCAGCCTGACACATTGATCAATAACACCTTGGCTTTAATAATAAAAAGCGTTAATTAAACACATATATTATGCGACGTTTCGGACAATGGCCCTTCTTCACAGCACGTGCTTCTTGCTATAAAAAAAATGTCCGGCCCGAAACTTCGTCTATCCATTATATATATATTTTTCCCCCATTCTGAGACCCCAGTATTAGTGACGAATATGCTGCGTTTCATGTTACAGCAGAATTAAATTATGTCTCTGCATATACTGTATATACTGTATATATATTCAGATGTAAAACGTAAATGATCAAGCATGTGTTTAAGTCAATCGGATTTTCAGACCAAATATGATCCAGCAGCAGGAGATTTGATCAACCAAGAAAAACCTCCGGACCGGCTTCGACAACTTGGGGTCTCATCGGCAGAGTGAGGCGTGTTAAACAATGTTGCTGATGCTGCTGCTACGTGACCTAGCAGATGTTATTAGCGAGTGCACTTCCATAATAAAGGTGGTTTGTGTTAGTTCGCGATCCTCTATTATGGATAATATTGGTCGCGAAAGCCTACGTGTTAAACTTAGAGCACCCCCTTCAAAATCATGGAACCCTGTTCAACGGGCGTAACATGCTAAATACTGTCTAGAAAAAAATAAGCTTTGTGTATTATATATATGTGGCGATATACGAACTGTGATTCTGTTATCTCAAATGTGTGTGTGTGTGCAGGGGGAGCGGTGGCCTAGTGCGTAGCGCGCTGCGCTACAAACCCGGCTACGTGGCGAGTTCGAATCACGCTCGCGGCCAACACCGTCAGTGACGATTATCTGAAGCGGGTTCCGGGCGTCCCCTAGGTCGACTCAGCCTCAAATGAGCACTTGGTGCGGCGTGTACACATCGCCACTGGGGAGACGAAGGCGGTCGGGCGTGGTTCCGGCCGTTTCGACCTTCATAGGTGCTACTCGCCAACCGCACTTGCCCCTACAGTCTCTTCAGACTACACGGGGGGGAGATGGATCTTTGTATTTGTAGTGTATTAATCACGCCTCTACATATATATCCCCAGAACTCTATATAAACCATACACGAGATGTTAACTCCCTCGCCCGGTATGGAGGAGGTCGTGGGTTCGTTCCCGATCCTGACGCGTGCTGCTGCTGCTGCTGTATATTTGGCGTTTGCGTGTCTCTCTCTCTCTCCCCGTGGTCGCGTGGATTCTCTATCCGGTTCCTCCGGGGTTTTTTTCCCCCTCCACATTAACAATCAACAAAGCGCGTTTAGAACATTCGGCTGCTATGAACGTCCACGTGACTATAATGATGATGATGAGCCGCTTCTCGTTGAGCTATCATTTATGATAGCTGGGTTGCTTCTAAAAATAAAGAGCTAAATAGCTCAGCAGGGCCTTACCTGGTCAAACTACTTTTTTCATTATTTACGGAGCATCGCGGCCTGCGGTTCCGAGTCGCAAGGTCTCTGCGCGGTTTCATTTCCTCTCCAAATGCCGAATTATCAGCGTCCCATTGCGTTCCCATCGCTGTGGCGCCAATGCAATCGTTGTACTGTGAAGTGCAGCGAACATAAGTTCGACTCTCGACCACGGAGGGGATATATTCGAACCGGTCCCGACTCTGCTCACCGCCCCCCCCCCAAATGCCCCCCCCACCCCGCGCCCCCACCTTAGCCCCTACCCCCACCACTTTTTTACCGACTCACACTGACCGAACGTGTGGTGAAGTATGGTCGACACGGCGTCGGGAGGCATTCGTCCAGCAGTGTATAGACAAAGGCATCTAACTGTTCAAGAACAACCCTCCACGACCCGGGGCCTCTCTAAGTCTAAGGCTCGCCTTTTCCCCCGGCAGTGGCGTGGTAAAGAAATTGCAGGGCTGCGCCTTTACCTCTTCGTATTTTTTTAGTTCGTTTAAAAAATAAAATAAACCTATTTAGACTATCGTACGGCTATGGGACCCGCCCGAATGTTTTCCGGCAATGTCAATTTAATGGGCCACATCCCTGCTGATGAGACTGAACAAATCAAAACCCGATGCAGGGTGTTTCACTGTTCATAACGGTGCTTTATTGATCATATTTATTGGCTAAACTTGTCCGGAAAAATAGATACGCTCATCTGAGCACTCACGACCAGACACGTGGTACAGACACACTGACAGACGGACACACCGTACAGACGGACGCACGGATAGACAGACACACCGTACAGACGGACACACTGACAGACACACCGTACAGACGGACAAACATACGGACACAAACACACTGACAGATAGATACACGAACGCACGGATGGACAGACACGCGATATTCACATTTGCTCGTGTACAGCAAACAAATCGAGCAGTCTGTGGCCGCCTTAATACCCCCCCCCCCCATGTACTTGAGCTATAAGGAGCGACTGGGTAATTAACTTGTGCCGCTAATTGACGTGGATAATTAGGGGGGTGGGGGTCACGCTGATTGCGCGGGCTGGGCAGACGCAAAGAAAGCGGGGGGCTGACTGGGGTGGAGCACAAAAAGGTGGCTAGCCCCCCCCAAGTCTGATGTCGAGAGAGACCTCGGGAGAGACAATGCTGTCCGTCTGCTGGGGTGCTGTATGTCGATCACTGTCCGCGCGGCAAAACACCGCCCCGGATTTGCGTCCGGATCTCATCGGAACTCCGCAGCGGAGCTGGGGTTGAGCCCGGATAGTAGCACGTGGATAGGAGACTGCCTGGGAATTCCACGGGTGCAGGGCGCTTGGTGCAGGGTGCTGGGTTAATAATGCTGAGCGCAGGGTGCTGGGTGCAGAGCGCTTGGTGCTGGGTGGATAATGCTGAGTGCAGGGTGCTGGGTGCATAATGCTGAGTGCAGGGTGCTGGGTGCAGAGCGCTTGGTGCAGGGTGCTGGGTGGATAATTCTGAGTGCAGGGTGCTGGGTGGATAATGCTGAGTGCAGGGTGCTGGGTGCAGAGCGCTTGGTGCAGGGTGCTGGGTGGATAATTCTGAGTGCAGGGTGAATAATGCTGAGTGCAGGATGCTGGGTGCAGAGTGCAAGGTGCAGGGCGCTGCTGGGTGCAGGGCGCTGTGTTACCTGTATCTCTTGTTGTCTAGGGGAACGATGTCCATGGCGAGGTGGTAGTGATGGTGAGGCAGCAGCCCCGACACCTTCACGCGAATCGCGGGGAACATGCGCCTGTGTGTGCATGTGTGTGTGTACATTGGAGTGTGTGTGTGTACATTGGAGTGTGTGTGTGTGTACATTGGAGTGTTTGTGTGTGTGTGCATGGGTGTGAGTGTGTGTGTGCACGCGTGTGCGTGTACATGACATGGATGTGAATGTATAGGCATGGGTGTGTGAGTGTATGTATGTATGCATGTGTGTGTGTACATTGGTATGTGTGTGCATGTGTGTACATGGGTGTGTGTGTGTATATGGGTGTGCGCATGTGTGTAGATGGTTGCGAGCGTGCGTGCGTGTGCATGCGTGTGAGCGAGCGTGTTGCACAAAATGAACACCCATTGCACAAACTCAACATTCATTTCAGAGATGTTGAAATCATTTCCACGCGAGCTCTCTCGGAATCAACATCGGCTCCGAGATTGCCATTTCACTCCGTTTATTCTTCTTAACGACTAAACCATGAGAAACTCAGAATCACCATCAACATCGTCAGCCGTGATGAATCCACTGCTCGATTAAAAACCACTCCGTCATTATTCTTAGCCGTCGACCATCACTGTCATCATCGTCGTCGTCATCCCTCCTCGCCACGCGTCCTGCCATAGGGCTTGCACGTGCAACGGCCGGCAACAAACAGCACCGTTGTAAGAGTCGTAAGAGATAACGCGTTTCTTGACTTGGGCGAGGTTATCGGTGTCAAAACTTGGGGGGAGGGTGGGGGGTGGGGGGTGGAAGAGACGACGATACTAGGAGATCAATTCCCAACGTGGAACGGTGAATGGAAGAAAAAAAAAACAGAAATAAAAGCGCTGGGAACTGCAGCGTGGTAAGGGCGTGTGTGGGTGATCGACTGGGTGTGTGAATAAGTGATTGAGTGAATGCGCGATTGAGTGAGCGAGCGAGTGAATGGCTGAGTGAGTGAGTTGATGGAGTGAGTGCGTGAAAAAGTGAGTGGGTGGGTGAGTGTGTGTGTTGTTGTGACCTGCAATGTGGTGGTGGTGGATGAGATGAATCAGTCAGTAACTGAAAGAAGGCAGGGCCGTCTCAGGGTGGGGGGGGTGGGGGTGCGGACCCCACGCCTTTAAACTAAACCCCAACTATTACATCTGACACCGTGGCGTCAAAGCGCGCCCCCCACAAAGTTGCGGGCCCCGGGACCCTCGCCCCGATTCGACGGAACCATATGGACGGGCTCTCGGTGGAGGAACCAACGAGTGAAGTCCATGGGCCCAGGTCACCATGCTAGTAGGAGTGGTGACGGCGATACAATCATGCCAAGGGCCTTCGTGTGTTCTCGAATCCACGTGTTCCTCTTTGTCTCTCAATGTACATTCGTAAAACATTAAAAAAAAACGTCACCAGAGAGGTAAAGTCGGTTCGAGTCCATCTCCTGGCACGGATGTTGAATCAATGGGTGCATTCCTGAAACGATTACATTCATGACGAAGCTTCTACTGGAGACGGTCCCGGTCTCTTGAAACCGGTTATCGATTCTAAACACGCTAACCGGTTTGACTGGCTAACCTTCAGATACTCACCAGGCGCGGTTCAGATAATCATCACTGGCGTTGGCCGTGAACGGGAATCGAACTCGTGTCGCCGGGGTTCGGAGCGCCACGCGCTGAACGCTACCCTACCGCTCTGCACACACATACAAATACCAAGATCCCCAGTATAGCCTGAACAAACTGTTGGGGCAAGTGCTGTTGGCGAGCACCTATGAAGGCCGACACGGCGCACGAGGGGGTGGTATCACCAACATTATGCCCGGCCGCCTTTGTCTCCCTAGCGGCGATGTTTACACACTGCACCGGCTTCTCATTTGAGGCTGAGTCGACTTAGGCGAGGCTCGGGAGCGGTTCAAGACAATAACCGCTGCTGTAAGCCATGAGCGGGAATCAAACTCGTGTGACCGGGTTCTTATCGCAGCGCGCTAACCGCTGCACCACCGCTCCCCCCCCCACACACACACACACGCGTGTCATCCAGCACTGTAAACCTATTAAAGCCACGGCTCAGATACCCTGACTCTCTCCCACCACACACAGTATTCGCGAATTTGCCACTTCAATTGAGCCCCCTGTGACTGATATCCCCTTCCCCCGCCCCCCAACGCAATTCAACCGGTCCAGCGCCAACGTAAGCCGCCCCCCCCCCACCGTCGACGGTAGAGCGAGTCACAGAGCTACGGCAATTACGGGGGGACCATAATGAGATTTTGGCCGAAAGAGTTTTTTTGGGGGCTGTAGTGGGGTTTTATTTTTGGAGGAGGGGGGGTGGGTGGATATAATAATAAATAGAAACGTGAACGCGTAAATTGTCTCTGCACGGGGGCTCTGTCGTGGCCACGCAACATCAACATAATAATAATAACAGCGGCAGCGGCTATTGACACACGTGGGGGCTAAATCGTGCCGCCAACATTCCCCGTAACGCCGCGCAAACAGGGACATTGTGTAGAAGCCGCCGCTATGTATTTATACGCTGTATAATATTATATATTATTAAAAAAATATTTTATTGGAGCGTGGAAACTAGGCGCGTGCCGAGTTTTCAGTTTTTCACTTTTATTTATTAGGTATAGCCCTGTGAGCCATGCGGCTCTTGAATCGGGTGCAACCGCAACAAACAAAAACATGAACAAGAAAGTTGTGTCGCGAGTTCGCAGCACACCGTGACTCACGACACAACTGTCGCCCGGTCCGATTCTATCTCCCTGTGCGGAAGTTGCAACAATGGTGCGAGTTGCAACAATGGTGCGAGTTGCAACAATGGTGCGAGTTGCAACAATGGTGCGAGTTGCAACAATGGTGCGAGTTGCAACAATGGTTGCGAGTTGCAACAATGGTGCGAGTTGCAACAATGGTGCGAGTTGCAACAATGGTGCGAGTTGCAACAATGGTGCGAGTTGCAACAATGGTGCGAGTTGCAACAATGGTTGCGAGTTGCAACAATGGTGCGAGTTGCAACAATGGTGCGAGTTGTAACAATGGTTGCGAGTTGTAACAATGGTTGCGAGTTGCAACAATGGTGCGAGTTGCAACAATGGTTGCGAGTTGTAACAATGGTTGCGAGTTGCAACAATGGTGCGAGTTGCAACAATGGTTGCGAGTTGCAACAATGGTGCGAGTTGCAACAATGGTTGCGAGTTGCAACAATGGTTGGTTGCGAGTTGCAACAATGGTGCGAGTTGAAACAATGGTACGAGTTGCAACAATAGTTGCGAGTTTCTTAAATCCTCCTACACCCCCCCCTCACACCGGGGTCTGACCAGATCTAAAACTAATCTCTTTAGAAGTGCGTTGTTGTTGTTGTTCTGTTTGGCTTCCCTCGCACACCTCGAATACGCACGGTTGGCCACGTACGGTGCGAAAGAAGTTCAAACACATCCGTACGGTATACTCACAGTATATTTCACGCACATTGATGACCATTGTAGGCCTTCATAGGTTTCTTGCTAACGGTCTTCGTCATCGTGTCAATGCCACGCACGTACAATTATAATCACAATCGGAGTTTTAAATTCATATTTGTATATCCCTCTCACAGCGAGTGCACCTAGCCTGGCACAAGCGCTGTGGCGACGTCACCCTCAGCTCACTGGGGCATGGCGGTCGCCACCCGCCTCTGTCTCTCACCCAGCAGGCGAAATGTGCATGCCACAGTTAAATTCGTGATCGGTGGGGTAAAGTGTGGGTAGCTCCCAGTTCTTCCAAGACGTACTGATCAGCGTGGAAGAGTAGACCGAGTTCCCATGTTAGAGGGGGCTCCCTAAGGCTCGCTCAAGTGGAGGCCCCTTCCGCCAGCAGTGGCGTGAGCAGGGAATTGCAGGGCAGCGCCTTCATCTCGTCTCACACGCGAATGTGTGTAAGTGTGTAACGATAAAGGGCGGCTTTTGATCTTATGTATATGATGTATATTAAGGTGTTTTAACTGTTACAATTTAAAGTGCTCCTAAAAAATATCCCCCCTCCTCTTGAATCATTTTAATTATTGAAAATACTCGTACGCATACATAAACAAAGATCACCCCCCCCCCCGTATAACCTTAACAGAGTGTTGGGGCAAGTGCTGTCAGCCGGCACGGCACACGAGTTGGAAGGAGGTGGGTAGCCAACACCACGCCTGACCGCCTTTGTCTCTCTAGTGGCGATGATTACACATCAAACCAGGCACTCATTTGTCACTGAGTCGACCTAGGGGAGGCCCAGGGACCGGTTCAGATCATTGTTACTCGAGTCGCGACAGACGCACGAACATACACACGTACATACACAAAGACAAATATCCCCCCTATAGCCTTAACAGACTGTAGGGGCAAGTGTTGTTAGCGAGCACCTATAAAGACCGGCACGGCACACGAGGGGGTGGGTGGCCAACACCACCCCCGACCGCCTTTGTCTCCATAGTGGCGATGTTTACACATCGTACCAAGTACTCATTTTAGGCTAAGTCGACCTAGGGGAGGCCCAGGACCGGTTCAGATAATCGTCACCGGTGTTGGCCGTGAGCGGGAATTGAACCTGGATAGCCAGGTTCGTAGCACAACGCGCTAACCGCTACACTGCCGTTCCCCCACACGCACGTACGCACGCACGTACGCACACACGCACGCACGCACACACGCACGCACGCACACACGCACGCACGCACACACGCACGCACGCACACACGCACGTACGCACACACGCACGCGCTGGTTATTCTACGCTAAGGGAATTAAAACAAATCACGGGATCACTCTCCTCTCTGTCTCTCTCTCTCTGTGTCTGTGTGTGTCTATACAAAGGTTATTGCGAGTTGCATGGCCCTTGGTACAATTACAGGTCGCTCGCCCGGAATTAATTGGGAGCAGATGATGTTGCGTAGGTGGGGCGCGCATCGATTGTTCGCCGTGAGTTGAGCCATCAGAGGAAATGATGTCGAGTGAATCGGAGCGGGGGGGGGAATCAGCCGACCGAGAGAGAAAGATTTTTTTAAAATACAATTGATTTCGGAGTTTTAGTCACTCAAGAGAACGATCGTCGTTTAGAGCATTTGGCTGCGATACATTTCCACGTGATGATAACAACCCACTTCGTTGAGCTACCATTTGTGGTCAGGTGGCTTCTGAAAAAAAGCTCCTCAGTGGGCCTTACCTGGTCAAATAAAAATCAGTGAAAGTTAGTTAAATAAAAAATATATAACACGACGCTATTGGTACCGTAATATAAAACATTCGAGCGTTTGAACCATCGCGAATCATCTCAGATACGTCGAAGCGACGTAACATTGTCACGACTATAATTATTATAGATCATTTATCATCGTTATCAATTAGGTGGTGCGTCTTATAATCAAGTAGCTGAGCGTGTGTGTGATCAGATTATTGTCAATTTTATATTAACGGACGTTTGTCGCGCGTATTACTTTCCAGAGCGTCTAATTATTGACACTAATTGTTTATATATCGTGCCATAATTTTAAAATTGCGTATTATTTTTCGCGTATTCATTATGTTTCTGCATTCGCCTGTAAGGTGTGAATATCGCAGTGCGTGTGATTAACATTACAAAGACAAAGATCCCCCGTATAGCCTTCAACAGATTGTTGGGGCAAGTGCTGTTAGCAAGCATCTGCAGTGAAGGCCGGCACGGTGCACGAGGGGGGGAGGAAAGGGGGTTGTTAACAGCGCGCCCTGCCGCCCCAGCGCGCACCGCACCAGAGGCGCAGCACCGGTTCAAATATTCGCCACTTTTGTTTGTGTCGTGAGCGGGAATCGAACTCGCGTCCGCCGGGTATCGTAACACAGTGTGCTAACCACGGCGCCACCGCTCCCCGCGATAATTCGATATTAACACACGCACGCACGCACACGCACAGAGAGACGTATTATACACGCGTCGATATGTGATTAATCATTGTAATAAATTACAACCCTTAGTCAATCCACTGCTGGATGAAGGCCTCCTTAAGCCACGTCGGTAACGACTGAGGTTTACTTGACTCGTACTAAAGACACACACATCGGTCGAGATGTCAGCCGTGGTCGCGTGCATGGCGCAGTAGCGCGCTAAGCGCTGCGCCACCGCTCCTCCCCACCCCCACCCCACCCCGCCATTACGTGCGGTGTTCAACATTACTTCACATCGACACGAAACACATCTACCATTCAAAGTAACCAAAAGTAACCATTCGCGTCGCTGTGGAAAATATAAAACTTATTCCGTGATATTTTCCACGACGATGCTGGTATTCATATTCTTAGCTCTTTCGGTAAAGTCACGTTGAAGGGAAACAATAAAATAATAAAATATATATAAAACACCTGATGACGACCGTTTGTGTTATGGTCGAAACGTCGTGAGAATTTTTATTGTTTTGCATATATTTTATTATTTTATTGTTTCCCTTCAATGTGACTTTACCGAAAGAGCTAAGAATATGAATTACTGCAGTCACGAAAGCTTTAAATCAAGACGATGCTGGTGTTTGTTTTTGTGTTATTACGTCGTTTTTGCGTCGAACTCGGAACCACGTCGAACAACGGGGAGCCCTTGGCCACAACCGTCTGGCAGTTCACTGCCATCGACCCAAGCGAGGCTGACTCGGCTGCTGATGAGACCCTGTGTGTCGAAACCTTGTGCAGGGTTTTGCTTGCACTGAATCAACGCTGCTGACATGATGCACTCCCAGAAGGCCGTGTCACCGATTGGATGCGTAATTTATTTTGTTTTGTTTATGCGGAGAGACAGATATCGGATGGCGGCGTTATCGGTCTGCTTATCTATTTCGTCGATATGAATTACACGCATGCCTGTATACTGAATCACATATGACCATATACAGTATGCGCGTGTAGGATATGGGCACACGGTAAGTCCTCGCTTTACGCGTGTGCGCACAACGTGGTTTTCGCTATAACGCATTTTCGCTATAACGCGTTTTCGCTATAACGCGGTTATTCTAATAGGGGACACTTCTCGCACGGAACGCGAAACGCGCAGCCTTATAACGCGGCACGCGCCCGCTATAGTGCGGGTCGTGATCGGTCGACGACGAACTACTTTCTTGAGCTGCGTGGCTGAGCGGGCTTGGGGATTCTGTGTACATGCGGGGTATGATAGAGTACTCGATGTGTGTAATAATAGGAATAATACTTGACATGTATAAAGCGCCCTTTAACAATCGTTGTCGGGGGGACGCGCTGTGCATGGGAAGGCGGAAATCGTTTAACATCAACCGAGGAAGAAAGAAAGTGAAAAATACGTTTGAAAAGAGATAGAGAGAGAAAACCATTTCATATATCATGTGCAGTGATGCATGCAACATGTACAGACCTCTCGTCATTCTACAGCTGGATGAGAGGCACACTATGCACGAAGGTATACATACAGTCACGCATGAATGTATATATATACACCCCCATCCCTGTACGTACATACGTAAGCACGTGTGTGTCATCAACCTTAAGCTCCGTAAAGTTAGACGCATTCCCGAAAAATCGTGTCCGGTCTCAATACCGTCAGGCAAATCTGGTCACACGCAAAGACAAAGATCCCCCGTGTAGCCCTAACAGACTGTAGGGGCAAGTGCTGTTAGCGAGCACCTACGAAGGCCGGCACGGCACACGAGGGGGTGTGTGGCCAACACCACGCCCGGCCGCCTTTGTCTCCCTAGTGGCGATATTTTACGCATCGCACCAGGTACTTCATTGAGGCTGAGGCGAGCTAGGGGAGGCCCAGGACCAGTTCAGATAATCGTCGCCGATGTTGGCCGTGAGCGGGAATCAAACTCGGGACATCGGGTTTGTAGCGCAGGGCGCTAACAGCTACACTACCGCTCCCCGCATGCATATATACACAGACATATACACACACTCATATATACATACACAGACACACATGCACACAGTGAAATTGAGAATTATAGCTAGTGGTTAGCGCAATAAATCTGGCGAACAAAGAGGTTTGTTAAACAATAACCGATAACCGTGTATTATTTAATCAATTATCGATTCACAAAGTCATGAACCGGCAACCCATTGCAATCGAGCGTTGCGCTGATTGCAACGATAGGTACGCGCGAACGTACAAACGGCACGGCGGTCCAAGTCACCGCGCGGTTACAAAATTATTCATTAGCCCTTTGTTATTCTCAGTCAACAGATAAAGGCACAGGCCCGGCAACTGCCCAGCTCACGTCACTGCTGGCGGAAGGGGCTTCTAGAGGGTCTTTTGGGCCTAACGCTTCCACCCTGGGCCAGACGTCGTGACAGCGGTGGGGCGCACCCACAACTTGCAGCATCGCACGCGACCTGCCCATCGACTCACTGTCAGTGGTACCCAGTTACACCGCTTGGGTGACCCGAGGCGGATGATATTTCATAAGAAACGTGCCCCACATTGTTTCGACTGCCGCGTCCGGAGATCGAATGGAATCGGCGACATCGGGGGGTTGTCAATTTGGTGCGCTCTTACACCGCGGCTGCTGATGCTCATGATGCTGGTGCTGATGATGCTGATGATGATGCTCATGATGCTGATGATTATGCTGATGATGATGCTGATTAAGCAAATGATTCTGATGATGATACCGGTGATGATGATGCTGATGATGATGCAAATGATGCTGATGATGCTGATTATGATACTGATTATGCTGCTGATAAGAATGATGCTGATGATGACGACGCACGCACCGTCCGGCCTTGGTGATGATCATCTCGGTGCCGATGGAGTGAAATCTCTGCCACAGCTCGGACCCCTGCAGCTCCACGCGGACCCCCGCCAGATCGGAAGGAGGGGGCGCCCCTTGTGAATGTCCCAGGCCGGGGACGCTGACAGTGGGAGCGGCGGGGGTCGCGGGAGCCCGGGCAGGGTCCGCGGGGTCGTCCCGGTCAGCCGGGGCCACGGGAGGGCTCACGGGGTCGGACCCCGACGCGGACTGGAGGTCGAGGCTCGTGGCTGCGACAACGAGGGAGGAGAGAGGGAGAGGAGCGAGGGTCAAGGGGTTGGCGTGCGGAGGAGTTTGAGTGCGCGCGTGTGACGGGAGTGTGAGACTTGTCCCGAAAGTATGTTGAGGCTCTACGGGGGATCTTTGTCTTCTGTGTGTGTGTGTGTGGTGGGGGGGGGGCATACCAGTGACGATTATCTGAACCGGTCCTGAGCCTCCGCTAGGTCGACTATGTCTCAAATAAGTACCTTGTGCTGTATTGTCTTCAAAAGGTGTTCGCTCGCGGCACTTGTCCACGAAAAAATATGTTAAGGCTATACGGGGAATCTTTGTCTTAGAAATTTCTCCTGCACGGTATCCATGCCACAGCCTGCGCCCACCCTCTGGCTGAGAACCGGCTGGGCTCGCGCGTGCTACAGGTGTGCATGCTGGAGGTAAAGTCGTTTGAGATATTTTATTGGACTGAGGGAACAAGTCATTAATTATATGCTCGAGTAGGGCAATGCGTTCAGACGAGCATAGCCCATCGACTTACATTTCCCATCGACTTACATTTCCCATCGACTTACATTTCCCATCGACTTACATTGCCCATCGACTTACATTTCCCATCGACTTACATTGCCCATCGACTTACATTTCCCATCGACTTACATTTCCCATCGACTTACATTGCCCATCGACTTACATTTCCCATCGACTTCCATTGCCCATAGACTAAGATCACCCATAGACTTACATTGCCCATAGACTTACATTGCCCATAGACTTACATTGCCCATAGATTAAGATCACCCATAAACTTCCATTGCCCATAGACTTCCATTGCCCATAGACTAAGACCACCCATAGACTTACATTGCCCATAGATTAAGATCACCCATAGATTTCCACTGCCCATAGACATACATTGCCCATATACTTACATTGCCCATAGACTAAGATCACCCATAGGCTTACGTTGCCCACAGACTAAGATCACCCATAAACTTACATTAACCATAGACTTACATTGCCATAGACGTACACTGCCCATATAATTACATTGCCCATAGACTTACACTGCCCATCGACTATTGTAGTCATGCGTATGGCAGCAATGCGCTCAGGATCTCGATGCCAATGCGGAGGTCTGCCGCTGTCCACGACGAGAGGGCTTGAGCAGAGAGAGAGAGTTCGTGTCGTTGTACCCGTTCCTCTTCCTACTCCTCCTCCGTTGAAGGAAAACGCTGGACTACAGTGGCTTTACTATTCCACTCCCCTCTGGCTTTTGGCGAACAAAAAAATAAAGACGAGGAGCCGTGGTTCACGGGCATGGTGACGACGTCACGGATGTGTTGATGAACCCGAGAAGGGCTTTGGGTTGAGGGGGTTACTCAGCCGCGCGTGTCCCCGGCCTCACTCGACGGAGCCGTATTTGTGTTCGGAAGCTCCCGCGCGAATTTCGCTCGCAGCCAGGAGTCGACTTTGATGGATGGCGCTCGCCGCGAGGGAGACGGAGCGCTGAGATCGACTTCTTTGCAGCCCTCCCCTCCCCCGAAGTGAGATGGATTGTGGCATCGCGCGGCCGCCAAGGGTTGGCGTCATCCAGCGGTGGATAGACAATGACCGATGGTGATTGATGGCGATGATGACGATGCGAATTTCCAGTCCGTTTCGTCTCATTTGTACCGCCTTCAAATCCACCACCACCACCACGCTGTGTTCAACCATCACCACCACTTATCGTCTGCCCTCTCACTGCTTCGCCTCTTTATCACTCTCACATCGCTACTAGCATGGTTACCCTTCCCGTGAACTCCACTCGTTGATCCATCCACCCATGTTGCGGACTCGGTCTCTATCAGGCACTAACTGTTTCGTTTCATCCACCACCACCACACTGTGTTCAACCACCACCACACTGAAGATCACAACAACACACTCACCTACCCACTCACTCAATCATTTGTCCATCTCATCACTCACCCACTCACTCATCCACTCACTCACCAACCCACCCACTCACTCCTTCACCAACCCACCCACTCATCCACTCAACCACCACACACTGCTCGTCACAATAACACACTCACTCACCTTGCCCCTGACTCAATCACTCACTCACCTACTCACTCATCCACTCACCAAGCAACTCACGCACACACTCACACACTCACCCACACACTTACTCACCAGGAAACTCACCCACAAACTCACTCAACAAGCAACTCACCCACACACTCACTCACTCACCAAGCAACTCACCCACACACTCACTCACCAAGCAACTCACCCACACACTCACCCACACACTCACCAAGCAACTCACCCACACACTCACTCACTCACCCACACATTCACTCACTCACTCACCAAGGAACTCACCCACAAACTCAAACACTCACCCACACACTCACTCACCAGGAAACTCACCCACAAACTCACTCAACAAGCAACTCACCCACACACTCACCTACACACTCACTCACCAAGCAACTCACCCACACACTCACACACCCACCCACACACTCACCAGGAAACTCACCCACAAATTCACTCAACAAGCAACTCACCCACACACTCACTCACCAAGCAAGTCACCCACACACTCACTCACTCACCAAGCAACTCACCCACACACTCACTGACTCACCAAGCAACTCACCCACACACTCACCCACACACTCACTGAGGAGGGAATTCGCGTTGGAATTCCCTCCTCACACCACCGTCTCTTATCCCAAGTTCTCATAATCTCGCTCAAAATTTCAAGAATAAACGTGTGGACTCTTTATCTCTTACGACCGTAATCGTGCTGTTTGTTACTGACCGCCTTGCGTTATTGTAAACATTTCTGTCTTCGCCCATTGGGCCTGTGTTCAGTAACCGCGGTGATAAAACAAAAACATCAGTCAAATCTCAAAAGGCTGGCGAGTGGCGGGGTGACGCACGTAGAGCGGAGGTGGAAGCGTTGAGATGTTTGCGTTATCACGTTGAGATGTTTGCGTGATCACGTTGAGATGTTTGCGTGATCACGTTGAGATGTTTGCGTGATCACGTTGAGAAGTTTGCGTGATCACGTTGAGATGTTTGCGTTATCACGTTGAGATGTTTGCGTGATCACGTTGAGATGTTTGCGTGATGACGTTGAGAAGTTTGAGTGATCACGTTGAGATGTTTGCGTGATCACGTTGAGATGTTTGCGTGATCACGTTGAGATGTTTGCGTGATGACGTTGAAATGCGTGATCACGTTGAGATGCGTGATCACGTTGAGATGTTTGCGTGATGACGTTGAGATGTTTGCGTGATCACGTTGAGAAGTTTGCGTGATCACGTTGAGATGTTTGCGTGATGACGTTGAGATGTTTGCGTGATCATGCTGAGATGCTTGTGTGATGACGTTGAGATGTTTGCGTGATCACGTTGAGATGTTTGCGTGATGACGTTGAGATGTTTGCGTGATCACGTTGAGATGTTTGAGTGATCACGTTGAGATGTTTGCGTGATCACGTTGAGATGTTTGCGTGATCACGTTGAGATGTTTGCGTGATGACGTTGAGATGTTTGCGTGATCACGTTGAGAAGTTTGCGTGATCACGTTGAGATGTTTGCGTGATCATGCTGAGATGCTTGTGTGATGACGTTGAGATGTTTGCGTGATCACGTTGAGATGTTTGCGTGATGACGTTGAGATGTTTGCGTGATCACGTTGAGATGTTTTTGTGATCACGTTGAGATGTTTGCGTGATCACGTTGAGAAGTTTGAGTGATCACGTTGAGATGTTTGTGTGATCACGTTGAGATGTTTGCGTGATCACGTTGAGATGTTTGCGTGATCACGTTGAGATGTTTGCGTGATCACGTTGAGATGTTTGCGTGATCACGTTGAGATGTTTGCGTGATGACGTTGAGATGTTTGCGTGATCACGTTGAGATGTTTGTGTGATCACGTTGAGATGTTTGTGTGATCACGTTGAGATGTTTGCGTGATCACGTTGAGATGTTTGCGTTATCACGTTGAGATGTTTGCGTGATCACGTTGAGATGTTTGCGTTATCACGTTGAGATGTTTGCGTGATCACGTTGAGATGTTTGCGTTATCACGTTGAGAAGTTTGCGTGATGACGTTGATAAGTTTGCGTGATCACGTTGAGATGTGTGATCACGTTGAGATGCGTGATCACGTTGAGATGTTTTCGTGATCACATTGAGATGTTTGCGTGATCACGTTGAGATGCTTGTGTGATGACGTTGAGATCTTTGCGTTATCACGTTGAGATATTTGCGTGATCACGTTGAGATGTTTGCGTGATGACGTTGAGATGTTTGCGTGATCACGTTGAGATGTTTGTGTGATCACGTTGAGATGTTTGCGTGATCACGTTGAGATGTTTGAGTGATCACGTTGAGATGTTTGCGTGATCACGTTGAGATGTTTGCGTGATCACGTTGAGATGTTTGCGTGATGACGTTGAGATGTTTGTGTGATCACGTTGAGATGTTTGCGTGATCACGTTGAGATGTTTGCGTGATCACGTTGAGATGTTTGCGTGATCACGTTGAGATGTTTGCGTTATCACGTTGAGATGTTTGTGTGATCACGTTGAGATGTTTGTGTGATCACGTTGAGATGTTTGCGTTATCACGTTGAGATGTTTGCGTGATCACGTTGAGATGCTTGCGTGATCACGTTGAGATGTTTGTGTGATCACGTTGAGATGTTTGCGTGATGACGTTGAGATGCGTGATCACGTTGAGATGTTTTCGTGATCACATTGAGATGTTTGCGTGATCACGTTGAGATGCTTGCGTGATCACGTTGAGATGTTTGTGTGATCACGTTGAGATGTTTGCGTGATCACGTTGAGATGTTTGCATGATGACGTTGAGATGTTTGCGTGATCACGTTGATATGTTTGTGTGATCACGTTGAGATGTTTGTGTGATCACGTTGAGATGTTTGCGTGATCACGTTGAGATGTTTGCGTTATCACGTTGAGAAGTTTGCGTGATGACGTTGATAAGTT